TCAAAATAGTGCTAAAACTGTTTAGAATTGAAAAATACAGAAACAATGCATGAATTACCAATTCAAGGAAAATTCCTGTAGTATTGTGATAATTTCTGTAGCAATCCATTAATTCAGTTTAGGACGATCTCCACCGAAACTGTAGCTATTATCTTCTAGGAAAGGAATCTTTAAATTCCACTTATATTAATCATTATCCTCTTTCTAGGACAGTGGTTAAAGCAAGATTGCATTTGCTAAATAAAAACCGCTTTTTGTAGTCTACATAAGCAGACTAGAAACACGTAACAATAATAAAAAAAAGCTGCAAAAGACGACCAGATACATAAAGTGAACTTGTTCAGACTACCATACTCATTCCTTTCCATTATATAGACAGTCAATAGGAAAGTAGATATCTTTAATCGTAATTAAAATAGGGTTTCTTTTACGCAGAACTGACCACGGAGATGGTTAGCAACTTAAAACGTTTTAAAATTACATCAGATATTTTTCATATTTTTAAACAATACGAGAAAATGATGCAAGGATTAATATTTTTGAAGGAAATTTATTTTTCATTTCAGATGGCTGACTTTCATGATGTTAATGAGATATTAGAATCCGAAAAGAAAAGGCTTATTTCTCAGCTTAAAAAGGATTCGATCACTAAGGACGAAATAGAATTCTGGACGAAAACAGAAAAAATCCATGAAGACTTTTACAAACAAAATTACGAAGATTTGTACAGGAGATCAGGTTTGTAATTTAAGATAAACAGGTTTGTTAAAAGAGGGAAAACAAAAGTTAGTATTCCTAATTACTAATAATAGCCGGCTACTCTAAAAAGAGCGTTGCAAAAGAATTTCAAAAAATAGACTTCTGACTTTGCTTGTCATGGATAAGAATACTGAATCCGAAACTATCCTGAATTTTGTAAAGCTGTATGAAAAATGTCCAAACTGACGCAATTTGAACAATTTTCATAAGGGTAAACTTGCGAGTACATTTATTCATGTACTTGTAGCAAAGCTGACTTTTTGACTTATGGTGTATGGATCTAAATATGTTCATTGACGTGTAATTTATTTCCTTTTATATATGTTAGACTCAGATCGACGTCCGGTCTCTAATCGACGTCCGTTCCTCAAATCGACGTCCAAATCTGACGTCACGTTCTCAAATCAGTGTCCAATATTTTTTAATCGACGTCCAATATGACGTTATGAATCACAAAATAGACGTCCGATCGATAGATCGATCTTCTTTCATCGCGATGTCTATTTTCATTGAATCAGTTATTTATCAATTGATATTTGTTTATATTATCTGTATCGTTTTGTCTTGTTTGTGAAGTAGCTAACAGAAACTATAACTGTTTTCTTATATTGTTTAAAAAAAAAAGGACAAACATTAGAATATGACAATAAGACAATCACCTACATCATATAGCTATTACATGTACATGCATATTAATATTTTGGTGAAAGACGTGCATATGCTCGACCTGTCGTTTTCCTTTTTTATATAAGGGAACGACCATATAACTTCAAGGGGGGAAAAGGGGGGGGGGGGGGGGGGTATGTTCTTTTCCTAAAAAAAAATATTCTGATCCCATTGATTTGATGAAAAAAAATTGTGGTCAAGCAGATGACAAAAAAAATATTCTGAATCCAGATTTTCCCCATACCTCATAGTGTTAAATTTTGAAAAAAATAATTTGATTGATAGTGTCGAAGAACTAAATAAAAATGACTCAGACAAAAAACCATAAACCCCCCTTGAAGTTAAATGGTTGCTCTCGAAATAAATAAATGTGGGTATACATTCGAACGACAATGAGACAACAACCCAAAGACAAAGTTAATCGAAAGACATCTAGAGGGCAGGATACAGACTCAAACCGAATAGAAAGAATAAAAACGTACGGCCAATTGTTGATAAGTATTATGATTTGGTCTTATAATTTTCAACAACTTTTTGAGTTTTAGGTTCAACCCACTTTTTAATAAAGATGTGATTTCACTGTGACAAGTCCATAAAACGAACGTCGATTAGAGAAGCCAAAAAATGGACGTCGATTAGAGAAATATAGATTTCACCACTGCAACAAGTGTGTTACGATATTTCTCCACTCGAGACAGTTAAATTTTAATATTTAAAGTGCGAGGCTTGCCGAGCTTTTTAAATACTTTAAATTTAACTGTTGAGAGTGGAGAAATATCGTAATACACGAGTTATAGTGGTGGAATCTGTTTCTCTAATGATTCTTATCCTTCCTTTTCAAAGATTTGTAGAAAGTTGTGTTCTTTATATGTGACGTCATCAGGCATGGTCGCCTTTTTTCATGACGTCACAATAGGAAAATTCAGAAGAAACCAAGAAAATTTGACGTCATAATTAAATTTCGACCAATCATTTGCCGAGAACATATTTTTCACTAGTGAGGAGAAATATTTTTCTCACACCGGTCAAGAAATGTGAAAATAGCACAAAAATAAGAGAAACATAAAATTGGCCGTCGTTTTGGAATGTTATTTTATTGTGACGTCAGATTTGGACGTCGATTTGAGGAACGAACGTCGATCTGAGTCTTACATATATATACCGATTATGCAGCAATGTTTTAGTGAAAAACTTAACTTTTTTATACACTTAAGGGCATACGATACAGTAGAGATCCCTCGTTGATTTTTTCTTGAAATATTGGTAAAAGGTCAATTTTGATGTGTACTTTTGAAATATGCAAAGAAAAATATACCTTCATGACTTACTTTTTGAGATAATTTGGTTCGAAATTTACATATTTGAAGGAAAAACCCTGAAATTTAATAAATAAGGACTTTTAAGGAAAGTACCAATACTTTTGAAGGAACAGTCATAATTTAACCGGGGTTTTTGTAAAATGTTCCCTTGATCCATGGCATCAGCATGTTGTAACAAGTTAACGGTTGAAATAAGTAATTATATTCTCAATTCTTTTAATACAAGTGAAATAAAGAAGTTGAAAATATTTTTGCGTCTATACAGAAGTGCAGAAAAAATTCTATCGTTGATTTTTTCTTAAAATTTTGGCGGAGCGTTCTTAAAACAGAACTTGATCGACTGCAAAAGAAAAAACTGGGGGTCCATGTGCTTGTTTTTTCAATAAAAGCAAAAACCCTAATTTTTATTGGAAAACGGGACGTTTGCCAATAAGGCGCCAAACTACGTTGGAATAAGTTTTATTCGCAACAACGTCGTGAAATCTTTCCCGCCGTTCACTATACTACGTTGTCAATTTCAGTGGTAGAGCCAAGGTGTTTTTTTTTAAACCAATGATATTAATCATGAAAATTAATAAAGCTGGCTCCTCGTAAAATAGCATCATATTTGCCAAACCTTTATGAATTGTTACGAATCTTGGATAGAAAATGTATTCTAGTAAATTACTTTTAGAAAAGAAATGTTCGGAAACAAAACAGATATATAATAAAAAAATTAATTTGCATCTCTGTCCGACATTAGTCATACAATTCATGTAGACAACACAGCTTGAACATAGTTTTAATTATTAATAGGCCCCGACATGACAAAATGTGCAACAATTATAAAGTAAGGGGGATGATATAAAAATAAGGACATTTGGTATGATTGCAAAAGAGACAACTGTCAACCATAGTTCAAATGACGAAGATAAACGCTATTAAAGGTCACCCTACGGCCTTCAACACAAAAAAAAATAAGAAAAAGAAAAAGCCACACCGTATAGTCAAGCTTTAAAAATCCCCAACATGAAAATGTGAAATAATTCAAACAAGAAAACTAACGACCTACTCTATAGGCATAACATGAACACAAAATCATACCCACATTAAATCGGGTCAGCTTAGTCAATTACAGTGTAGTATATCATTTCATACAGCAGTCGATATTAGAGCATGAAATTTAATGATTCTGTATCAATAGATAAGTTACCTAAGCTTGTCTTCAGAGTATTTTTTTTTATTACGGTACATATAATCATTGAATTACTTGTCTGTATTATACCTTCAATCTAGGAGTGAGTGCAACCACATTGTTTGTCCGGTCCAACAAATATTTTGTTTCTTATCTGAGAAACTACTTTACAAAAAGACTTCGTATTTGGTCAGTAACTTAACATCAATGAGTTGCAACTCTGGTCTGTCAAATACCTAATTCCTGTGTGCCGATTTTTCTCTCTAAATATGTAAATAGGGATATGCTTAGCACATCAACGGGTGCGTTTTTGTTTTTGGTCTATAATACGGGGCTTATAACTGAGTAATTTTAACTGACAATTCTTCTTCGTACACTTATATATTCCACGGGTTAAATTCTAAAAATGCCGTTAATCTCTTTAATGTTCCTTTTTAAAGTCAGGAACAATAAGATGCGCTGTCATTATTTATTACGTTTTTTTGTCATTTTGTTGATAGTCTCTGTTAAATTTATCCGTACAATTCTCATTACGATTTAGAGTTATCCAAATGGTGAAGTTACTATATTAATTACTTATGTTTTTTTTGTGTAGTTGGGTTTCTCTCTCATCGACGTCTTATGTTTTTCATATCTCTTATTCATTTCCCATATGAAATAACAGACATACAAAATTAAGCATGTGGATTTGATTTTTTTCCCATTCGAAGTTAATATTGTTGTATTAATGAATAAATATAACAATTCTCGTGAATTGGCCGATTTTCATTGCAGGTATTTTTTTTTCAAATTCGCGCAATCGGGATTATGACGTCAGTGGATTTCCGCAAATATGACTACATCTAAAGCGACGTCGCGAAATGTATTCGTTCTTATTAGAAACATCGCGAAATTACAACGTTCTGATTAACAACGTCGCGAAAACAACACGAAAAGTTTTGAAAACGTTATTATCTGCCCCTGCTACTGTATCGTATGCCCTTAACTCATAAAGTAACTAATAGGGATGTATTGAATAGTATAATTGATTTTTGTTCGTTTTGAGTAATTGATGATATAACTGCCTGTTTTATTATAGAGGCTGCAACCAGGAAGTTGTTTGACGAATTCAAAAAGGAGGCCAAGTCAGTTTCAGAGTTAAATTTTTGGGAAGATATCGAACATATGAGAGGAGAATACCACTATCCAGAGGAAGAATGTTTTCTCCGTGAAGATATAGGTTTGTGCCTATCATATGTATGAAAGTGAATAAGGATTGCATTTCACTTTAAAAAAGAAGAGATCAATAGTCAATGAAACCATAAAACACAGTTGAAACTTAACTCATGTAATCAGGATCACTGTTCAGTCCAAAACCTCTACTAGATGTTACGACACTCTTGGTAAACACATTTGTTAACTCCGTGTTTTGCTTTAGCCATTATTTTTTTTTTATTTAGAAAACTCATTTTATCTAACAATATAATGTAAAAATTTCAAAACAACGCATACAGATTTCTGCTAATATTTCCTATGCAAATAAATATAATTTCTATTCATCAATTTTTCACATATTTAAGATGAAGTCAAGGAAGATGAAACCAGTAACGGACAAGATGACATCGGTAATCAACTATTTGATGAATCCAGTAATGACCTAAATGAAACCGGGAATGAACCAGATGAAAACAGGAATGAAAGTGACGAGAATTCACAGATACAGAACAAACAAGCCCTGACAAGCAAAGAAGCAAAGAAGCAAGACTTTAAACAGAATGCTGTTGGTAAGCTTTAAACTGCCAGTATCCTTCGACTGCAGTGTCATCATGAAACAAGAGTGCACACGCTGAAATGTCTCGCCTTCTTTACTAACCATTGATTTTATGTTGATAGTCCTAAATACAAAGCTTTACTACAAGTAACACATAAACTTAACATGATCCAAGAAAATGAGGTCAATGTCAGATAAACCAAACGAGAAATACATGTACACCTTACAATCATTCAATAAACCAAACATTGTTGACCTATTGCTTATTGTTTCTAAGAAACAGTCTTAAACAAAAAAACTTAACATTGACCATTGAACCATGAAAATGAGGTCAAGGTCAGATGAACCATGCCAGACAGACATGTACACCTAACAATCAATTTAGGCATTAAATATAGTTGACCTATTGCTTATAGTATCTAAGAAACAAACTTAACCATGAAAACTTAACATTGACCAATGAACCATGAAAATGAGGTCAAGGTCAGACGATACCTGCCAGACAGACATATACACCTTACAATCCTTCCATACATCAAATATAGTTGATCTATTGCTTATAGTTGAAGAAAAACAGACCAAAACACAAATACTTAACACTGAGAAATGAACCGTGAAAATGACGTCAAGGTCAAATAAAACCTGTGAGACTGGCATGTACATCATAAAATATTTCCATACACCATTTATAGTTGACCTATTGCATATAGTATAAGAAAAAAAGACCAAAACTCAAAAACTTAACTTTGACCACTGAACCATGAAAATGAGGTCAAGGTCAGATGACACCTACCAGTTGGACATGTACACCTTACAATCATTCCATATACCAAATATAGTAGACCTACTGCTTATAGTATCTGATATATGGACTTGACCACGAAAACTTAACCTTGTTCACTGATCCATGAAATGAGGTCGAGGTCAAATGAAAACTGTCTGACGGGCATGAGGACCTTTCAAGGTACGCACATACCAAATATAGTTATCCTATTACTCATAATAAGAAAGAAATTAACATTACAAAAAATGTTGACTTTTTTTCAAGTAGTCACTGAACCATGAAAATGAGGTCAAGGACAATGGACATATGACAGACGGAAACTTCGTAACATAAGGCATCTATATACAAAGTATGAAGCATCCAGGTCTTCTAGCTTCTAAAATATAAAGCTTTTAAGAAGTTAGCTAACGCCGCCACCGCCGCCGTAGCTGCCGCCGCCGCCGGATCACTATCCCTATGTCGAGCTTTCTGCGACAAAAGTCGCAGGCTCGATAAAAATTACGCGACATGTTTTAATTTCAAGCCAAACACAGTTACTAATAACTACCATCGCAAATGTGGATAGGATCACACATTTCGCCTACTCACAAGTCTCACACAATTCGCCTACTCACAAGTCTCACACAGCATTGTTCAAATGCAGGCAGCAAAGCTGGAGTCTAAAGTTCAAGCAATAATAAAACTAAGCTTAACGTATGTGAATAACCTTTGACAGCAAAGGCTAGCAGAGTTAACTTTTTTTATGTGCCCATAAGTTATCAAATTAAATATTGTTTCTCTTGCCAATAATAACAGGTCACTTGAAAACGTAATATCAAGATACTTCAATACATTTATTTCCATTTAGAGTTAAGTTTCAGAAGATCAATATATGTTAATATGGCTTTTATTCATGTAAATAATTGTCAACTTTTCAGTTCCCATAGAGTCTAGTGAAAGTCCTCCTTGGATAGCAAGTGAAACTCTTATATAGTCACCTTAAGTAAAACCTAATGAAACATCGGTGATCCGATACGTTTACATCACAAGCAAGTTTAACAATAGATCTGAATACAAGAACTTGCTCACCAATATTCCTATTATTATAAGAGAGAGGCAAAAATACCAAAGAGATATTCAAACTCATAAAAATCGAAAACAAACTGACAATGTCATGGCAAAAAAACAACGAATAACGACGAAAAGACAAACAACGTTACACAAAACACAACATAAAAAAGCAACAAGTATAAGGTATTGTTTAATGCTGTATCAAGAAACAATGATTGTTAGGTAAAACAAATCCTGTATACTTAATTTATAAAGCTATGGCAGCACATTATTTCAAAAAAACTATTTATTGACGACCAAACTTACTTCATAAATTGCAGTTGTTTAACTACATGTATTAACAAAAAATATTTGAAAAAAACTCAGTATTTTTTTTCTTTGAATAAGCAGAATAAATAGAAATTTGAACAGGATCAAGTTAAAAGGATAGTTTTATTTTATGTTATGGTTATATCATACTTTTCTGGTAAACTTCTCTTTATGTTGATTTTCATTCATTTTGGGCAATCAAATTATCATTAAGAAAGATGCTTTCAGACCTCTTCTCCTTAAACTTCGTGGCAATTCCCGTCTAAACTTCATGGTATTTTTCCAAACTCTCCACTTTACTTTTGACGGTTCAAAGCGAAGTCGTTATTACTAGTTAAAGATATTTCCAATAAATTAGACAGCAAAATGACTTAAATTTTAAACCAGGACAACGACAAGAAAACGTGTTTTATCTGATTCTAAAAAAATGCGGAAATTCATTTTCGTACAACGTGTTTTCCTGACCTTGTTTTGTGTGGCTTTTGTATTTTATCTTCGGTTTATTGCTAATGAACTTTTATTATTAAAATTTCAAAATCCGAACAAGGCGCATTAAATTATTTACGTTTGATATCGTGACATCACTGTTGTTATCGTGGGCTAAAGTTTTGAAAGGTTAGCAATACAGGTTCCCAAGAGCCTCTGGTTTCAGGTTTTAAATGTTATCGTGCAATTTGAGAAATAAGTATTATTGAGTGATTGACAACGTTAATTGTTTGCAGGTCCTTCCTCTATGGCGCACATTCACCAAACGGAAGAACCTACATGGATAGTTATATCTTTTAAGGTAACGTATTGGCAATAGGCAGATACATTGCAAAAAGAATAAACAAAAATACCGACCTCCATGTTACATTTAAAACGAAGGAGGTCCATAAAACCTGGCAAAATTTTACGCTCAACTACATCAACCAAAGAAAAGAATGGAAAACAACTGTAATATTTCGGACTTTGTATAGGCATTTTCTGAAGAGAATGGTCTGTTAAACCTGGTTTTATAACTAGCTTAACCTCCAACTTGTATGCCAGTTGTTTATAGTTCCGTTATATTAACAAAATTGGATGAGCAAACCAAATAGACATAACTGGTTAACACGACAATATTTGGGACCCAGCAACCAAAGCTGTGTAAACATACATCACAGACATACTTAAAAATTAAAAACACGACTGACTTAAAAATTCAAACAGGGCTACAAAGTTTATGTAATTGATAGTACATATAAATAGTAAAACATAATTTTATATACACTTTTTACCAATAAAGCATTCATATCATAACAAAAAGAAGTAGATGTTGTATAATTACAAATGAGACAGCAATCCCCCAGAGACAAAATAATGAGGATGTAAACAACTATCACAGTTGACACACTTATATCACATTTCCCTCCTAGAAATTTTGATATACTGTCATACGAAAGAAGTTAGATAGCTATCATGTTAGGTCCTTTTTGGTCATATAGCTCAATCATTTCGGTTGTTATACATCCTTGGCTTTCAAATATTCAGCTTTCGGCAGGCCTGATGAAGTTAAATCCAGAAAAGCGCTTCTGACGCCTGAAATTGGTAACGAACGTGTTGTTTTCATTTTTAAAGAAAACAAATGAAATTTGCATTTTTTGCTCCACACAGCAAAGGAATAAAATAGCTAGTCTCCCCCCCCCCCCCCTCAAGAAACAATTTTGTCCAAATCGAATACATATTAAATGAATGTTATTTTTAAAGTTGTATAATAGATATAAGGGATACATGTGTCTATACATTTATTTTAATTCCACGGGTGGACTTACAAATTCGAGAATAAAATATATGCTATAATTCATGAGAAAAATAGGCTAGATTACAATATAAATCATTCGTCACATTGATTTTTCTTATTATAAATGCGAGTTTAATATTTCCGACAGAAAGAGATTGTACTTGATGTACCTGACAAGAGCGAAAGGAAAGTGATGAAAAAGGAAGAAAAGAAGAAGGGAACTGGAACAAATAACTTATTCAAAGATGCTAGAAAAAGAAGCCAGACGGAGGATAATCAAGCTAAAAAGAAACAAACAACAGGTATAACAAAAGTATAAATAAATGTTAGGTCAATAATATATGGAAAATAATTTATGTATACTCTTGTTCATGATTGTTAAATGAGTGACGAGATGGGACATGATTATCAATGAGATAACTATCTATTGAATACCAAAAGACAAAGATGTGAACAATTTTAGGTCACAGTTCGGCCTTCAATATTATGCAAAAACCCTTATCCTATGTAAGCCACGGGATGTCAAAAATAATCATGACAGACAGCAACAAAAGACAACAACTGGAGTACAGACTCATGGCTTGGGACAGGTGCACAAAGCATGTGGTCAGGTTAAACATGTTTGTGTGATTCCTCAACCCTCCCCTTACGTGGGACAGTGGTATAACAGTTCTGATCTCATCCGCTTACTCCACATCCCCTTTTATCTATACAATAATCACGGTAATCTTAACAAAAAGAGGCGAAGGATACCAAAGGGACATTCAAACTCATAAGTCGAAAATAAACTGACAACGCCATGGCTAAAAAAGAAAAAAAAAAGACAAACAGACAAACAGTGGTACACAAAACACAACATAGAAAACCAAAGACTGAGCAACACGAAGCTGACTAAAAACTGGGGGGGTGATCTTAGGTGCTCCGGAACGAATCTGTGAATTCAGTATATTCAACGGTAATCTGAAATGAAACATACAGCATCATAAATATGAATTAACGAAGTATGCGGAGTCCATGCATTGTAGTATTGAGCCATTTATTCAATCATAAGCCTCTATTATACGATGCTGATATTAAATTTTCTGAACATCTTAAACGAGATGGTTCAAGGATTTTTCTGACAAACGGTTTAATTGGTGTTTGCTCAATCTATAAGGGGCAATATTACAGTTGTATAACTCGGGACACAACAAAGCATAATATGAATCGATTCATATAGCTTCTTAAAAAGGATTTCACTCGGCAAATGGCTGAAAATGAAGTGTATGTGAGTAGAGTGAAAATATTTACCTAACAACAGTCCTCATGTCACTCAATACAATTATACATTATAAAATATGAGTACAGTTTTTTTGTGAATGGAAATTTAATCCTAAAATGGAAATTGAGTAACTGATTCTTTTTTAAACACCATGCAGCATGAACTCAGACTTGAATTCTCACTCACTCAACTCCAATTTACTTTTGTATTTTTCCCTGATATTTGGTTTTGTAGTGCATACATTCCCATCATGTTTTCGACAATATTAAATGATATTTTTGTATTTATATTTGTATTGGGAGAAGACGTCTCTTAAAACTTGTGTCCAATCCGTTTCGCTATTCTTGCACATCATAGTGCACATTAATTTTGTAGTAAACAATTATGTAGTTTTGCCCAGGTTATTTTTATCATGGATTGTGTTTATTTTCAGATGGACTACATATGGCGAAGAAACCAACTTTCCGAGATTTCATCGGATCGCTGTTTTCTTGTTTCCGAAAACCTAAAAAAGTAGAGGCACTGTGATTAGACAATTTATTTATTTAAAGTGGTCGTTTACTTTCTGTATTTTACTGGATAAATAAATGTTTATTTTCGTCATATATATGATATGTTTTTTAATTATTATAATAATTTACAAGCAACTACAAATAAATTGAAATCCTTTATTTTTATGAGGAATGAGAACCCCATACTGAACATTATATATATGTATGTAGTAAATGATTGTATAAATGTGTACCAAAATCACAAAAACAAACAAAGAGGAAAACAAAACAAAGCACATAACAGGTCAAACACCTCAAAATTTATAAAACGAGAATATTATATGGCTTTTTTTTCAATACCACACCCGTATCAAACCATGACATCAATGTAATTCCAAGAGCTCTGATCAAGGGATTATATCGGTTGAGGATTGAGACTGTGTGAGATTTGAAAAAAAAACCATATCGGATACCTCAAGTAGAAGGGTCTTATCATGCTTCCCTTAACCTATACCACCCTGCTCAGTTGCTCCGTTATTTTCGTACCACGTCTTTGAGACTTGAGCAAAACTTATCAGCGACGTCACAATGTCTGAGGTGACGTTATGTAACGGTCTAAAAAGGGGGGGGGGAGAAAAGACAGCATTTTTCTGTTGATATAAATATATTGGTGGAATTCAGAATATATAAACCTTAAGAAAAAATATGTGTTTTTATTCTGTGTCAATTGATACCTTTTTCTATCCGTTGATTCTTTAACTAGACTTGGAAAATATAGTATATGTATCAGCTAAAATTTGCTTTGCACTTTCGGAGTTAATGATAGCTTATACTGGTATCCAAAGAGCTATAGACTGGGGGTATAGAAATGAAGTGATCATGCGCATCTGGTGCAGAAAAATCAGTACCGTTAATATTACTATCACTATACTTCTCCAATCTAGCAGTAAATTCCATACAAAATGGGAGCATCCGTTTTGATGCACGTGATGTATAAATACACAGACACATCCGGTCGGAATGAGGACGTAAAACGTTCTTTCAGTGATATATAAGTCGCCTGTTGTAAGGCAAAACTTTTGCCCGTATCGAAAATGACCTCATTTTGAAGTGGCACTCTAAATTGCCGTCCTTACCGCACCTTAATCATTCATTTGCATTTTTTAATCTATAATAAAGTGTTTTAAAAGTAAAGTTAAGAATGTGAAACAATTCAAAAGGGAAAGCTTACGGCGTGATTTATGCTAAAACAATATTGGAGAAAGCAACCAACGACAACATCTAAATTATATGATCCTGCCTATAGACAGGCGCAAGCATATTAATTTGGTAGGGTTATCAGCGCCTTACTCTTCACCATACCTATGACAGTGATGTAAAAGTCCAACATTAAAACAAACTGCAAATACAACGTTTCGTCTGCCTATATGATATAGTTATGGTCTAAAGGTATATTAAAACATAAAGTGCAGGGAAACACAAACAAGGCTAATGGAGATATAATCCCCTATTTTTGAGAAAATTATGTTTGTATTAGAAAGATTAAAGAGGCGGAATTTTCATTATATAAATATATTAAGAGTATACTTTTTTCCGATTGCTGATCAACAAGTATTTTTTTAGGTTACTAGCTCTAAAGGGTCGATGATATCCGAGGAGAATTAAAATTCGCAAATCATACGGAAAAAGTGTTAGTTTAACTAATATTATAACCTTGTAAACGTTACATTCCTTTCTAAAGAATATTTGATAGATAAAAACTGAATAGTACATACGAACTGTCTAGTTTTTGCTGATATCTACAAGCATAGATCACTGCATGCATATCTGTCTGTGACCTTCTTTTTATGTCGACCAACTAAACCGATAAGTTCCGTTGAAAAGTAAGGAAAACAACTTGACATTATGGTGAGTACTTTCTCTGCTAGTACAGGAAACTGCAAAGAAAATCAAATATACTGAGTAAGGAAAAAAGTGTAACAAAAATACCGAACTCCAAGGTAAATTCAAAGAGGGGAAAGTCGGCCGCAAAAACTGACAAAATCAAACGTTAGACTATATCAATAAACGGAACGAATGGAAAACAAATGTCATATTCTTGACTTGGTAAAGGAATTTCCCAAAGAAAATGGTTGGTTAAAGCTGAGACAGACAGACAGACAGACAGACAGAAATTCACACAAAAGAACAACAGTCAACAAAACACTCCACTAGTGCCACCAGCTGTGTTGCTCATTACAAGTATTCATCTGATGATGCGTAAACGTAGAAAAGAGGACGGGATTTGAGCAAATCTGCAGTTATTTGTGTCACAACTATCAACTAAAGCATGATGGCGTCCTTAAAACTTTCGTAGAGATGGTTCAGTACTAGTAATTTCAACCCAAGTAGCAACCAATTGACTCCCTAATTTCGGCATATACACATATTAAAATTTTCCACAATTAAACGGCAAAATAAAATAAAATTGTTGAACCAGATTTCAAATCTTTTAACATTTCTTCACCGTAACATTTAATCTAATATATTTCATTTAGATTATCAATGAATAGGGACTTAAAATTGTTCTTATAGCAAACACTTGTTTATTCGTTTTTATCATTATTGTCAATCATATCTATATTTTGAAATTACAGATGAAATCAGTCGTCATTTTCCTTTCTCTGATAGTTTACATGTAAGTCATAGTAATTTTATTTATCATATATTAAGTACTAAATACAGAAATTTTGTATATCTAATAAAGGTTCTTTTCTCCAGTGTGTATCATCTACCCTGTATCGCATACCCCGTATCGCATAGCTAAACCCGTATCGCATAACACGTATCGCCACCCCTTTTGGTACATCTCGAGATTGTTTCCGGAACCCCTCAGTTGTTGAAATTTCAGAAGACGACAATGATGTTGACTCTCTTCAAATGCTGCCGGATGGACATATGTTTCCATAAATATAATTTATGCAATCACTTATTCATTAGAACATCTCTGAAGGACCAACGATTATATCGTTTAATCTTTTTCCGAGGCTTAAATAGGTTTCCAATGTTACGTCATCAGGGCGTGACGTCATATATATATCAAATGACGTCAAAGTTGGACATATGACGTCCAGTTGTCGTATTTTATGGCATGATACGAAATGTAACCACATTAAATAAGCGACAGCAAGAGGGCTAAGCAGCAGTCTGTTAGGGGACGACCATCTAGTTTTGAGGAGGAGGGGATGGGAGGGGGAGGCTGGCAAATTTGATTAGGCCAGAATATTGATTTCAAACATAAAGGCGGCCAGATTATTTATTTTTACTCAGAACAATATATTTATATATTACAATCGAGGGTGGGTCCAAGAAAAGAGGGGTGTTATTATCCAAAATGGTAAAAGTTCTTGCGAGCGTAGCGAGTCAGTTTTTTTTTTTTTTTTTTTTTTTTTTTTTTTAAGATTTCATAAACAAAATCATATTTATACCGGTCAAAAGGAGGGGGGACGTTCACTGCGTATCTCTCAAAACAATCACTGACAAAATTTCTTTGCGGATTTTCTGTTAATATTGGATACCTTTGTAAATAATAACAAAAATGTAATTGGGGCAAAAATATTTATTTTCATGTGTGATAAGAAAAGTTATTTATTTGCACCTACATGGGGGCCAGAATATTTATTTCCAAAAAATTGCCAGGCCCCCACCTCAGAATCAAATGGTTGTCCCCTTATATATAATGAATCTAATATTGTTAAAATATATGATAAACAGATCAATACATGGAAAAATCCGTATCGCATGCTGTATCACTACTCGACCAATATCAGCCCTCGGGACTAATATTGGCTTCTCGTGGTGATACAGCATGCGATACGGATTTTGCCATGCATTATTCTTTATATATTTCATTTTTTTTTAGAATTATTTGGATACATATCTAAAATATAAAAATTATAACAAGTGTGATATTAATCAAAAGTTCTGACAACATCAAAAAACAGACAGAAATAAAATAAAATTGAGAATGAAAACGGGGAATGTGTCAGAGACAACAACCCGACGACAAAAACATGGACTGGACATGCGAATGACTGTTTCGAGATAGTAGCAGTGTTGATTATCTATATTGAAAACCGATTCAAAGTCTTATTGGTCTCTTAATTAAAACAATAATGAAGAGAACAAATAATAATTATAATATTCCACCACTATTTGATAGTAAATTAAACGAAATGATATACAATGATAATGACAAAAAATCTTTAAAACGAATAGTTTTGGTCAATTTCATCTGTTGACGATACTAACAATGATACACCAATTATAACACCCATAACCAATTTCTATTTGTCTGATCTGGTAATAACCGAGCAAGATATTAAAGATATACTGAAAACGTTGAAAATAGGCAAAGCATGTGGTAATGATTTAATTAACCAGCAAATGCTGAAAGGCACCGCGGATTCTGTTTATAAACCTCTACTGATTCTATCACTATTCTAAATCACTTCGAGCTGGTATGTTTCCAACACAATTGGAAACTTGCCAGAGTTATGGCTTCTTTTAATAAAATGCTTCGCCGAGCGCAGCCTGATACGACTACAAAGGTCGAACCCTGAACAGTTTGGGCAAGTTTGGACACAATATTCAAGCTTGATACTGTCTGAATTCGGATTGTGATATAATTTTGAACATAATATAGGTTTCTGACACAAAATAAATGTGGTCAAAGATCTTAAAATTTGAAATGGGACATTTAATTTACCTAGTATGGTCTGATATCCAAAATCTAACAACATGGTTAGATTCAGCATATAAAAAACACAAAAAATTTAATTTTAGTTGAAATCAAACAAAGTTTAATTTTGGACCCTTCAAACCTTAATATGGACTAATTTGAAAACAGGGCCCAAAATAAAAAATCTAAATGCACAATTAGATTCAGCATATCATAGAGCCGCAATAATTCAGTTTTTGATGAAATCAAACAAAGTTTAATTTAGACCCTTTGGACCTCAATGTAGACCAATTTAGAAATGGGGCCCAATATCCAAAAAAAGTAATAAAGGTTAGAACCCCCAAAAATTAAAGACTTAATTTAATCCCATTGAAATTGGTTAAAAGATTTGTATTTATTTTCAGTTGAAGATTTCTGTGCTATTGCGCAATACTGTGCTGTTGCACAATACTTAGATAATCTGTTATATATAATAATTTACACACCCTGTTTGGTGTGTATCTCCTGCCATATCAGTATTTGTTGCTTTTATATATAAATCAGTAATAATCAATGTAAAAATGGAAAATTTTGAGGGAAAAAAAAACAAAAAATTACGAAAAAAAAAATCCTCCAAAAAATTTTGTTCCCCCCCAAAATAAAGTAAAAAAATTTGAAATTTTGAAAAATCCTGAAAAAAAGTATGAACCTCCAAAAATTTTTTTTCAAAAAAAAAATTTCAAATTTCAAAAATTTTTGAAGAAAAAAAATATGAACCTCCAAAAAATTTGAAAAAAAATCCCACCAAACTTTTTAACCCCCCCCCCCCCCCCCACCAATTTGTTTTGGAAATTTTGAAGATTATTTTCTTTTCAGGAAAATGTACAATTTCAGAGAGTTCCATAAACTTTAACACAAGTCATAATATAATTGTCTGGAAACTAGAAAAAATGCTTGTTTTTGGCCCCTATTTGCCACTTATTCCTGAACGTTTGGGACAATTACCCTCAAACTCAATCCCAGCCTTCCATTTGTGATTTGGAACCTTGTGGTACAATTTCAGAGAGATCCATACACTTACACACAAGTTATTGTCCGGAAACTACAAAAATGCTTGTTTTTGGCCCCAAATTCCTAAACTGTTGGTACCATAACCCCCAAAATCAATCCCAACGTTTATTTTGTGGTATTGAGCCTTCTGGTAAAATTTCATAGAGATCCATTCACTTAAACTAAGGTTATTGTTCGGAAACGAAATGGGTCTTCGGACGACGACGACGACGACGACATGATAGCATTATACGAACGCAATTTTTTTGCGGTCGTATAAAAAAAGAGGATAAATCAAATCCTTGAAATTATAGACCAATATCTTTACTGAGTTCTTTAGGGAAGTAATGGAAAGAGAAGGGTATAAACAAATTCATAATTATATATTAGAGCACTCATTATTATATGTATACCAGTCAGGTCATTCAACTATTTACCAAATCTTGGAAATCTATCATAGGGTTTGTCAAAACCTAGATAAAAAATTATCTACCATTATAGTAGTTTGTGATATATCAAAAGCCTTTGATAGAGTCAGGCATGTCGGCCTTATTCAAAAACTGCTTTCGTATAGAATTCCTGGTACGTAGAGTGGGTTAAATGTAACACAACACAAGGTTATTTGAAACAACTGTTTATTTAAGCCGGTCTGGAACGGAGTGGTCCATAACGGAAAATACATAAGAATACATACAAAATTAATAGAATATAACAGTTTATAAAAGTTTCTATTAATTTGACAATAATAGTTTTTATTCTAAAGGTACACGGATAAATATCTATCAAGCTGACTTTAATTGACATGTTTTGACCAAGCTGGACAATTGATAGTAGTAGAATTCGCGTATGTCCAGTTCATTAATTAATTGTTATTACAACATGTCACCATATGGCCTACATGTAAACATGCACTTGTAGTTAAATGTAAATTAAAACAACCTTTCTTCAAGGTCATGATTTTCTTGATAGATATTTCCGTTTTATTTTATTCAATTTTATAAACATATTGAGAATATATAATTATATAAATATAAATACATATATATAAGTCTAAATTGAAAACAACGTTCAAACCTATGACTGCATTGGATAAAAACCGCATTTTTTATACGTGTGCATGCAAAACAAATTTCGTGGTAGATGAGTCTAAATACAGCACAAACAAAATTTTCCAAAAGACCAAAAAAGGGAAAAAGTATATTTAAACAAAACGCATTTGACTAACAGGTCGAATAACGGATGTTCTTAAGCCCTGCTGACTGCCATTGGCGATTGCCAAATAAACGGATGTAGACTACGAATAACTGAAATGTCATTCATCTACTGTCAGAATATGGAATAAATTAAATCCAACTATAAGAAACTCACCAACTATCCCACAATTTAAACGAAAAAAAGGGCGAACCATGCATTTAGACCTCCAACATATGGTGAAGGGTTCAGAAAATTTAATTTACTGCATACATGACTAAGGCACCAGTGCAGTTCACCAAATGCAGACTTAAATTAGATAAATGTTGTTAATTGATTCTATATGCTCCTATGGTTCTCTTGTTGAAGATGCCATCCATTACTTTCTAGAAAGCCAATTATAATATAATCTAAGAATATCTCTGGTTAATGGTCTTATAAATATGAACATTCAACTTGATAGTGATAAGCTATTGTTTGGAAAAGATGCATATAGTTACGATTCTAACTCTAAAATGTTTGATAAAGTTCGTTGTTTCATTAAAGATTTTAACATTCCAAATCAGAAGTTTTGTCTTTTGTCTTTTTAATTCTGCCCCGTTTGCTTTTTTTTTTTTATCTAATTATTTTTTTTTGCCATGCCAATGTGTGACCCCTTCCTTATTTTCTATAACTGAAGCTATATTATTTATGTGTTTGCTGTCATCATATATGTGTATTGTATATGTAAGGAGAGGACTTAATACAATTTGTAGTATCTTGTGTAAAATCCTATTTCTTGATTATTGCAATAAAATATTAGTAAACAAAAAATTGATTTTCACAAAATCTGTTGTTTATAGATTGAATTAAAAAATCAATTATTTGAAAACGTACCACCATCAAAATTTATGTTGTAATACCATCTTAATGATTTATGCTTTTAAATGTTTTATTATAAAAAATCATGGCATATAAACCACACTGTGACTAAATACTCGTCAATTCTTTGCAAAACTTATTATATGTATCTCAAAAATACGCATTATATAAAAAAATCAACCCTGCTTCATTGTAGTTTGTCCGACTCAGAGCCACAAAGAGAAGTCGTCTTGTTCGACAGAGCTGACAAAAATAGAGACGGTCAACTAACACGCTCAGAACTTGACAATGTGTACCTGCTTTTTGACGTTAATCGTACGTATTCATATTGGTCGCTGTATCAGGTAAACAAATAATAATGCATATTCAGGAAGATGTTAAATAAATATCAGATTAGAAAGTTCTGCATTGAGTGTAGAGTGGTATGAAAGGATCAACAATTCAGACTGCAATTGGGAAAAGAAGAGGGTACTAGTTATGATAATGAGTAATTTAGAACAACAAAAGGCACAACTCACAATATCAATGATAACAATGACTTTTCAACTTACCTATACTATCATAATATGGAGCAAACATTTTGTCGACTTTCATGCAAATCAGTATTGATTCTTAATAAAAAAAAACTGGATTTTTTTTTTCAACAGATGACCATAGCATTACATCTGCGGAATTTACGAAGGACTGGGTTGTTACATATGCAATCGGAAACGGTCAAGAGGCAGCTAAATTATTCTCTAAAGCCGATGTAAATGAAGATGGTGTCATCAACAAGGACGATTTGCCTTTTGTTTTTACATACTTTGATATGGACAGTAAGTTTCTTTCTTCATAAGAATTGAAAATGAAAAAAGCTGCATTTTTAATCTTTTTCTTACAAATCTTTTGTTTTATATTGTACAACTTCATATATTTCATGAAGTGTCTATCATTGAAAGACCTCGATAACGATTTAACGTAAATATAAAAAAAAAACACCTATACGAGTTTGTATACCTGCTATTAATTACTCGTGATGAGTTTATCGAACAATGACATTTTGGAAGGGCGTTGGGTTATAGTATGCAACGTATCTAAATAGTCTGAAATCAATAGAATTCTATTTACATAAAAGAATAAGATGAAAAATCGATACAATATGGATCATAGGCGACATACGAACTTCGATCCGATAACACAAAGAAAAGCAACTAAAAAGTAATCCAGCAGCAGTTGAATTCTTGTAGAACATCAAATCAGTTAACTCTTGACTATTAACGTGCGATAAAAAAATGCTATTTCCGTGTGTTATTCACGATAAGTTGATCAGTTTCCTTGATATGGTGTCAAAATGATACATTTAATGAACTTTTTGGATATAGAAATTGGAAAAACTTTGTTCAGCAATTTATGAAAAATAAGTCAAAGTTTTTGTAATTTATTCCTTGATTTCAGACGGCTTTCAATCCCATTAAATATATAAAATGAAGTAAACTTTTTTATCAGAACTAACTATATTATTAATGTTGTTGTAAAGGTGATGGCCATGTTAGTGTGAATGAATTTCTGACACAGTGGGGACAACTGAAATTGGAAGCAGGCCTTGAAACAATTGACATCCATCTTGATAACAATGTTACCACTCCTTCCAGTGGATAATATACTGCATACGGATAAAAGCACAAATAAAAGGAAATAAACTAATGGACTTTTGAAGGATTCAGGAAACATAATTCTGAACAATATTAAATACTTTTGCTTTCTAAATATAGATTTTTACGGCGTGTAATATATAGTGTGTTGTTGGTTTCTCTTATGATTTTTTTTACCTTGATTTTACAGAGATAGCAATTACGTTAAAAACGAAGCTTACCGCAAAAAAAACATGTTTGAATATATAACATGTATACTTAAAAGTAAGATAAGCGACACTACTGTAGAAGAAAGGCATTCATTACAATGGGTGAAAACTAAAGACTTAACAAAACATCACAAATTCTTCACAGAAAAATAATTGTAATCTAGATAAAAGTCAACTTTTAAAAGATCTAATATGTAAAATATCAAAACTAAAAAAAAATGAAATATCTATACTATTAAATGAGAAGACCTCATTTTGTGTATCGCCTCTCTTCCTTCCACAATAAATTAATCATTTAGTCCTATAGGTACCATGCATAGTCGCATTTGTCATCCTCACTTATGATTATTCCGTTTGAGTTATTTTGGGAGGAAAACGAAAATAAAGGCGTCATCGGACGGACTTTTAAGTCATAGACAAGACTTCCGTTTAGGACTGTTTAAAACTACATGGAATTTTGATAAATTTACAAACATCAAAATAATTCATGCATTCCACAGATTTGTTTTCATTTTCACATGGCCTGGGTCGTTATATTCGTTAATTTTATCCCTTGCTTACGCTCGGGATGAAATTCCAATATAACGACTCAGGCCATGTGAAAATTTCGACAAATCTATGGCTTGCATGAATTATATTTCTTTATAAATAAAACATGATTATATACCGATTTCAGGGATCCCAAGAAATCGGATTTTTATCGCTTCCAGGGTTCCTTTGGCGCATATACCCAAAACATTTTATGTAATCAAGTTAGAAATTAAGGGTTTTTTGTAAATTTACTAAAATTCTGTGTAATTTTAAACAGTCCTAAAAATTGTGCGTTCATTTTATTACAAATAGTTTGCCCTTTGAGTTGACATTCTTTAGATTTAAATCCAATATTTTGAACTGGTGAAAAATTCAAAATGTTATATTGACATCGGTTCATGTTTAAGGTACTTTTGATACCTTTCCTGAAATTCTCCAGTCATAAAATCTTTTACAAAAATTCATCCTACAACAGTTTACATACTTCAACCACGCTTTAAATGCCCGCGATTTCGCGGATGTGTTCTAGTCACTTAATAAAATTGTTGCGTCCGAAGCGCTTTTCTGGATTTACCTTCACTACAGCTGGGAACCCCCATACCCTAACATCTAAAAGTCAAGGATGTATAACTACCTAAACACGTGAAGAGCTAAATAACAAAAAGGGGCATAAAAGAATAATTTAATCCTTTTAAGATATTAAAACAATGTAATTCAAAAATACAGAAAAATGGCGGCATAATATTTCAACCGAAATGGTGTTGAAATTTTTTTTTTCAAACGTCCGCATCACACAAGTGACAATGCGAATTATATTGTATAAAACGTGTTTGATTTATAATAAAATAACTAAGTGACGACCCGGCTAAGAAGTGTTCATCAAGTCTGAGATAATGTAATCCCGAAACAAATAAAATCAAAGTACTGAAGTACTGAACATCGGATGACCGCAAGTTCTGGTGGATGGTCACAAGCACTTGTCTCAGAAAAAAATCACATCTCTATACCTGAAAGTTAGGTTACGGTAGATATATTTTTTCTGAGACAAGTTCGTGTGTGAATGATTAATAAATGACAGGGAATTCAACCTCACCGTAATAACAATTATATTGTAGTGATAAAATTATTTGTTATCAGTATATTCTGGTTTGTTGTTATATATTATATTTATATTTGTATAATAGTTATATAAAATTTTCATCCATTTGTATATCATTCTATTCTACTCTTCTAATGATAGTGCAGTGCAAGTGCATGGTGGACACTCTTCTGCAATAATTCTTTTTTTCTAATAGATTGGATTTGAGTAGGCATTCATATTTTCCCGCGTTTGTTACAAAACGTTCTTGAGATATTCTTCCGCACGCGTTAACACAAATTTTCGGTATTCTTGATTTGTTATTGATATATATATTTCTCACGACAAAACATTTTCATATCATTTATCTATGTTCTTAAAAAATATTTTCATGAATATTTTTTGATAAAATTGATATTTAACAAGCGATAAGGAATGTTATTTTGCACACGATAATATCCGCGTAATTATACGGTTATCAGTCAAAAACGAATGTCACGTGGGTAGAAATGTCTGTGGCAACAATACACAGGAATGCCCTCACGGTCATCCGATGTAAAAATGAGTTGCAATATCCGAATCGACTGTTAATAATTTAGATAATATGAAATATAGAAGTAAATGAATAAGGGTTGGATATATATTTGTCATCAAAGTTTCAGGTGAAATGATGATATATGTATAATTATCTAAATTAAAAGATGTACTTTGGTCTTTAGAGTACTACTGACTAAATGTTGTCGTAAATTCTTCCTCATACGAACTGCTGTGATTCGATTTCCAGAACATTTGAAGGTTCGTAGTAAAATATTGTCATTGTGTGTGATAGGTCAATAAAACAGGGGCATGTTAACTGTAACTAAGATCTTATATTGCTTTGTTTGTCCTGGTGTGCCTTTCAAGAACTGGTCTGGAATATTGTATTTTAATAGCAGCACTTAAATAAACTAAATGTAACCTCAAAAATTAAGACGTGTACTTAATTGCAGGGTGATAAGTACAGAAATTTCTGGAAATGATTTGAATTTCTCTTCATTACGTGTTAATGACCAAAAAGCTTCACCAGAATAAAACCTTGAATTTCTGAGAACATATTGTCCTCCGGGTAACACACAAACAAACGGGTAAAAGTAGGATACATTTTAAGTTTCATAGTAACTCAACCTGTCTGAGAGTAATTGTCTTACAGCCGATTTCAACGAGTGTGTAGCTGAAGGTATAATCTTTGGTTAGCTACCTTGCTAGCTCAACCATGAAACCATTATAAGTTAAGGCACATCCAGCCTTTGGGTGGGGGTCAACTATAGTTAAGCAGAGAACCAATCAGAATTAAGTGACAGAATATAAACAAGTCAGTTTAAAAATAAGTTTTCAATCTAAATTTAAAATTTAGTGATAATTATAAGCTCATTCACAAGCATGCATGTTGTAGGTGTGTCTGATTTGCCAAAATTACGAAAAGTTAACTGAAAGCTTAATACCTTATTTTGTTCTTCGTCAGCCATTACAAATAATAATATATTTAACTTGTCTGTTGAATTTGTTACATCAAGTTAATAAAATGTAGTTGGATATGATTGACAAGTGCTGACTGTATTCACTTTTACACATACACATATGTTTAAAATACACCCGGACAGGTCAAAAAGATTGGAAGGTGTCCAAAAGTACATATGACCTGATCATTCAATCTAGGTCAGATTAAAACTGAAGTAGAGACATAAAAATTGTTCTTCATGGCTGCATTATTTATCTAAAACTAATAAGTAAGGTAATGTTAACGGACCAAGTGGATGTTCATAAACTGCAATATTTTCAATTCCAGACTGCAGCTGTTTGCTGTTTTTTTTTCCGTTGCATTTTTAACTAAATAAAAGGTCCACAAAAGCAACCGTGCATGATATTAAGTAGTATGATATTTTTTTTCTTTTCTGTGTGAATGTAAAATATTTTAGTTCTAAAAACTATGCATATATATGAAGAAAAGACACCAAGACCATAACAATGTTTTTTTGCGTGCACCTAAGGACACTAATTAACTTAACTGCCTATTCATGGCGTAAATATTTAAAAAAAAAACGTTACTCCGCTTCTAATTTATTGTAATAAAAAGATTTTTTAATTCAATCAAAGACTAAGAAATGAAATGTTATTTGCAAAGTAGTCAAGGTAAACCTTTGTATCAAACATACATATATATAATAAATAATAAACAGGCCATTGATATAAATGTTTTCAGTGAATGATTAAATGGTGCTTTGCTCCTCCCAATTTTAAGGTAGTAATCATTTCATGGTTGAGCTAGCAAGGAAGCTTTAAGTTACCTAAGATTCTACGTATAGAGAATGTTAGCACATACTTACAACTTCTCGTCCAATAAAATTGCTGGAATTTGCCTTCTAATTTTCATAGTACATACTTTTTCCGTGTACTAAGTAACTACGCATGAATGACCACAAGGGTAAGATTTCATTGTATCATAATCAAGATATCAAAACAAAAATTGCCACTGGCTATTTTGAAATACAATGCTGTGTTCCAAATTAAATTACATAGTTTGTAATTAGTTTTTACATTGATTTTTAAATACCTTTAGATCTAAAAAATGTGTTTGACAATTTCAAGTTTCTTTCATTCAAATAAAGAGTAACAAATATTGTTCTTTATACCTTGGTTAGAGAACAATGCCATCTTAAAATTATGATGATTTATCATCCATGCAATTACTTTGTACACAAAAAAGTGGGTACTATGAAACCTTGTGAAGGGAAATTAAGGCAACTTGATCTATTTCGTCATGAGTTGATTGATTGGTTGATTATTGGTTGCTTAATGTCCAGGACGATGTCATGAATTGAAAAACCGTAATAATGTCTGAAGATAATGTGCAACCGGTAAGAGTTCCATATGGCACCCCACCATACTAAAAGAACACAATAATGTATTACAGTTTATTCCGTGGGAATGCCATATGGAACTCTCCGTGCCACCTATATATATATATATATGTATATACATGTTCTGATACATCTTTTAGTTTTTACTTCGAAAAAAAAACATAAACCCTAGTATCTTTGATCTATTGGTAGTTGCTTTTTAATGACTATCTGCTAGACTATATATAGAGACATACCAGGGGCGGATCCAGCCATTTTTAAAAGGGGTTTCCAACCCAGGATAAAGGGAGAGGTTCCAACCATACGTCCCAATTCA